CCTCACTTTCAACCAGTGCACAACACCGAATCCCAGGCTGGGTGGGGAAATTCAGCTATGGAGGAAGCTGTTGAGCATCTTCCTCAACTATCTCTGCAGACACTTTAGAAGGAACTAGCTCTCTCCTCCTCATAGCCTCATTGGGTCAAGACTAGGGACTCGCACGAGATTGGGTGGGGGCATCTCCCTGTGCCTGGAGCGGAACACAGCATTCAGTTTCTGACCGAAGTGATGACTTTACCCAATCTAAAATTCCCCGGGGAGAGCGACCCCTACCTGTCAAGGTTAGGTTGTCAGCAGGAACCCGATAGAACTTAGAACACAATGAACGCAGAAAAATATACGGGGCCGGGAAGTCCACATTCACACCCTTCCTGTTCTTTTTGTAAATGGGAAGAACCTCTTTGCAATGTGGTTTCCTCTCAATTCTGCCTAAAATTCAGAGTAGAAGGAGCTCGGGGAAAATTCCACAACCCACACGGCACTGGATGAGGTTTAGCAATGCTTGATTTCTTCACTTTCCCTTCGCCTAACATTCCTGCTCCCTCCCTGAAGATGATCTGTAACCAATTTTTCAATGAATTCTTGGCAGCTTGATGAATTTAGAGAGTATTATCTTTCCTCATTGAATTGTCTCGGCACTTTTGTCAAAAATCAATTGACCATAAATATATGGGTGTATGTTTTGGAATTTCAATTCTATTCCATTGACCTATGTCTATCCTTATGCTAGTACCACACTATCTTGATTACTGTAGCTTTGAAAAAAGTTTTACAATTAGGAAGTGTGAGTCTTCCACGTTTATTCTTCTTTTTCAAGTGGACTTTTTTTTTTTTTTAAACTCTTCTGGGTCCTGTGTAGCTCCATATGAATTATAGATCAATTTGGGGGGTTATTGATTGACACCTTAACAATTTTAAGTCTTCTGATCCATGAACATGGGCTATTTCTCCATTTTTTCAGGTCTTCGATTTCTTTAAGCAATGTTTCGCAGTTTGTAAAAGGCTTGCCCTCCTTTTGTTAAATTTATTGCTAAGTGTTTTACTCTTTCTGACAGTATTGTGAGTGGAATTGTTTTCTTACTGATGAATTTAGAAAGTGTTCTGTTCTCTCGCATGTTGGGGGTAGGAGGATTTGAAGTGGTTCATCACTGAGTATTCTTGATTAATTATGAATGCTTATCTGTGACATTTCTGTAATGTTTAACTGTCAAAGAAGCAGAATATGGCAAAGTGACTAAAGTCTGACTGAAACCACTGAATCTTTGAAGGGTGAGAAGGGGCTTCTGGAATGGCATTCTGTATGCCTCCCACAACACTCTGCATCCCTCCAGTAGGGCTCACATCACACTGTATCACAGTGATCTGTTTAGGCCTGCTTCCCCCACTGCATCATGAGTGCATGAAGATAAGGACCATGTCTTATTCTTTTTTTTTGGATCCTCAGTATTGAGTATCATGCCTGATAGATACATGGTAGATACTCCATGCACACTGACCACATGCCATGACGTGCTCCATAATAGAGTTATAATGAACAGACTCAAGAGTTGATATACATGTTGCTGTGGGTTCCAGAAAGGGCAGGCCAAAGCCACCTCCCTGACCCAACTTAATTGGACCAGGACTGGAACCAACATTCATCTGGTCCCATCAGCTTCCTCTCTTACAAATTTGGAAGTGGTGCACTGAACAGCTGAGTCAGATATGTTTGCAGAGCTGAGTCAGGGTGAATGGAAACCATATGCATGATTAGGCATATGCAGCAACCACAAGGAGGCAGAAAGAAGCCAGTCTGTAGAGAAGCGTGGAAACAGGCCACGGCTCCCGAGAGGGGGCTGCCTTGGGCTCCGGTAGTTCCCTGGGTTTGGTTCCGTTTGTGAAGCCAGGCTGCTGAGATTTTTCTAATCTCTCAGAGGTGCCAACTGGCAGCCCATCAGTGAAACCTGGCCTGTAGTTGAATTGTATGGGCTCATACATCACTTAAAAGTTTTTGATCCAACATACTAAAATTTGGAAAGTTCATGTAAAAAGCCAGATTCCCGTCCTGAAAATTGGGAGCTCCCACCGCGCAAAAAAATCAGGTAGGGCTGAGCAATAGCTGCCCCCTTTGGAGGGGTCTATGCTTCTCACTCTACCACAATTCTTCCCTCTTCCTGTTGTTCCTTATACCTCTGTTCCACTCACTTATGCTCCCTGGCTGTCCCCTGGAGGAAATTAACTACCGATCCCAGCCTTATAATAAAGCGGTACTTCTTCATTTGAATTAACCCGAGTCCAATTTCTGTTCCTCGTAATTAAAACAGCCTTGATGAGAGCTCTGTGCAGGGCTCCTCTCGACCATCCTCCATCACCATTCTTCTTTCTTCATGCTAACAGAATCCCAATTTTGCGTTCAAGAAGCTGTGGGTATCCCTTGATCCTGTGGGAAGGAGGCCCTTCCTCCTCCAGCTCTGGGGGAAGACTCATGCTTTTAGACTCAGATCTTTTAGCAAGGAAACTTTTTGTGACTGTTCCTTCCCCATTCTACTTCCTTTGAAAAAATCTGATATCCAGTACCTTGGCAGCCATCTTGGGGTCATGAGGTTTCATGCATAGGGTTAAATGGCCAACATGCAGAGGAAGGCGGAGAAGAAAAACAAAAAGAAACTGGGTTTTTGATGACATTGTTGAGCTGCTGAGCCTTCCTTAGAACAGCCTGATCCTGGGCTTGTTGTTAAATGAGCAATTAATGTTCAAATGGGTAAGCTATTATTGACTGGTTTTACTGTTGCTTGCAGCTCACTGTTATCCCAGACTAGTTTACTAGTAGTAACAAGGGAGACTCTTGATCTCACCCTTCAAGGCTCTCTGTTACTTAACATTTGCCCAAAATAATGAATATCCGTATTCATTTCAAAGTCCATCCCTAAGATGCTTTTACGTTATTGCCAACACATCTCACTTCTGTGTTCTAAGAATACTCGGAATAAGGGAAAGAAAGAAACCACATAGCCTTAGCTACATTGACTATCTTTTACCATTTTCTGACATCTTTCCTAACACTGAGAGAAACGGATGACATTTCCATTAATGGAAAGAGGAGCTTTTGGAAAGTTTGAAATTAGATATAAATGTCTTCTGCTAAAGGCCTTGTATATTCTAGAGCTTGGACAACTTTGGTGGCAGCTCTTGTATCATTCAATACTACTGATTTTTTTCTAAGGGTGGGCAATTTAGAAGGCAAAGACTTTTAAACTTTCATTTTCTCAAGAAGAGAAAGCCCTCAACTGTAAGCCTCTTTACCCCAGGGCCTGGAAAACATTCCTTCCCACCAAGCATTCCTACCCCACCCCAGCCCCCAGTTTTTCCAGGTTATTTGAGGGTAAAGGGAGTGGACATACTCGTCTATCAGTGTCTGAGTAGCTGTAAGCCTAAAGGAAAAGAAAGGAAAGGAAAGGAAGGAAAGGGAAGGGAAGAGAAGGGAAAAGAAGGAAGGAAGGAAGGAAAGAAAGAAAGAAAGAAAGAAAGAAAGAAAGAAAGAAAGAAAGAA